TGCCTTATTCCAAAATGGATTAATTTCCTCAAACTTCTACACACAATAGCCCATAATGACAATGTCAAAAAAAGAGTTTTTGAAATTGTTGCAAATTTATTAAAAATAAAAAACCTGAAAAATCACATGTACATAAGTGTTCACTGCCTTTGCTCAATACTTTGTTGATGCACTTTTGGCAGCAATTACAGCCTCAAGTCTTTTTGAATATGATGCCATAAGCTTGGCACACCTGTCTATGGGAATTCTTGCCCATTCCTCTTTGCAGTACCTCTCAAGCTCTATCAGGCTGGATGGGAAGCGACGGTTTGCAGCCATTTTCAGATCTCTCCAGAGATGTTTAATAGGATTTAGGTCTGGGCTCTGGCTGGGCCACTCAAAGACATTCACCAAGTTGATGTGAAGCCACTCCATTGATATTTTGGTGGTGTGCTTGGGATCATTGTCCAGCTGGAAGATGAACTGTCACCTCAGTCCGAGGTTAAGTGCACTCTGAAGCAGGTTTTCATTTCGCATGTCTCTGTACATTGCTGCATTCATCTTTCCCTCTATCCTGACTAGTCTTCCAATTCCTGCTGCTGAAAAACATCCACACAGCATGATGCTGCCACCACCATGCTTCACTAGCCTGGTGATGAGCGGTGCCTGGTTGTCTCCAAACGTAACACCTGGCATTCACTCGAAAGAGTTCTGGTCTCATCAGACCAGAGAAGTTTGTTTCTTATGGTCTGAGAGTCCTTCAGATGCCATTTGGCAAATTCCAGGCGGGGAGTGGCTTCCGTATGGCCACTGTACCATACAGGCCTGATTGTTGGATTGCTGCACAAATGGTTGTCCTTCTGTAAGGTTCTCATCACTCCACAGAAAAACGCTGGATCATTGGGTTATTGATCACCTCCCTGACTAAGGTTAAAGCTGTAACATAAAAAATGTGGAAAAAGTGAAGCTCTATGAATACTTTTCAGATGCACTGTACAACCTACAAAAAGAAACAGCAATGGATGTAATAAGAGAGAGAAAGAGAAAAACGTACAAATTAAACAATACGATTAGACTTTATGGTGTTTTAGAAAAAAAAAGACTGGATCCCACATTTTATTAAATTCCTTATAGTTCCCAAAAGTGGTACATTTAAAGCTTTCCAAATGTAAAGTGGGGGTGAGTCCAAGAAGCCAGTCAGAAAAAAGAGGCCTAACTAGCTAATGGCCTAATTAGGCCTAATTAGCTATGATCACAGACAACCGGTTAAGAGTCTCCTGGAAAATATGACCAGCCAAAAATTGCTTTCATTGAGATAGAGAGTAAAACACAATTGTAAACGTTGGCAAAGAACTGAAATATTTCTTATCAAAAATGCTGAATTTGAACACAGGACTAAAAAAGATGTGCTAAGGTACCCTCAGCAGTTTTACACAACGTCGCATGAAGGGTAAACCGAGGGATAGAATATACTAAGCTTAGTTAGAGAACAGTGACGTCTGTGTAATACTTGGTACTGCATAAGGTTGTACCTAGAATTTATAGAACATGAATAAAAAGTTAAAAGGCATTGATCTCAATCAGTCTCAGAGATTAACATCCCCATGTCTTCATTCCAAGCGACTTTCAAATGAAGAGAAGAAAAATCTGTTCTGTTTTTAAAAGCATTAACAGATAAAAAGGTTAGGCCCGAATATAAAGCATTTCATTAATTAAAAATGATGCAGCAACTGGTAAACTGAAGTTTTTCATCTGTATTAGTATTATATACACAACTTAAGGTGAAGAAGGGCAGTGAGAGACATTTTGGCTTACTTCATTTCTGGCGTGTGTCCAATATTGACTAGATTCAGACTGAATTACAACAGCATGCATACACAAAAACAGCTAGGGCTTTTCTAAACCCCAAATTATACAAATAATTACACCAAACTCTGATCTAGATCTTTCCACTGAAAGTCCTCTTTTAGTTTCCCCCCGAAATCGCAAAGCCTGGGCTACTTTTCAGGAAATAATGATAAACAGGTCTGACAGCTTGGCAAGAAGGGACAACCGACTCCTCAGAGAGATTCTGAATACATTTCACAGCAGTCCTCTCTATAAGAAAAGGAAATGCCAACATCTTGCAGTAATAGTCTCACCAGATCGAACAATTTCGTCCTTTGTGAGCAGTGAAGCCCTGAGCTCTGGAGTTGCTCCGAGTCCGCTGTGTGAGTGAAAATACATGGGGCTCATGTTCTGTTTTCTCACCGAGTTAACAGAGTTAAACTGAGTTTAATCAGACCACATCGCAAAACTGCAGAACTTTCTCATTACCGTTAATCTAATGGTATGCCATTGAACTGCTTTACTTTACTAAAACATATTTAAAAGAAAGCAGCATCAGAAATGGATGTGCTGTATTACAGTTATGCTGTGGAATGTCAGATAATTTGCATGAGACTGTTTGCTCCTTTCCTCCCAAATGGGCCATCTAATCTCTCTAATTGGGAAAGGGAGAAAATGTTGAAAGGTGGGGGTGGAGGGCATTTTTGGCCAGCTGCCCAAGCTTTGTGGTTTGAGCGCAGCAGTGTGATAGGGTGTAGCATGGATAACACAGTCCCCTCTGTTCTCCAAAACTGTCTGTTCTCTTTCTGTAAATTTGGGCCAGGCGATGATTGTGATCAATCACTGACAGATAGAAAGCACTCACATTTTCCATGAAAATGTAGTGTACAAGAAATCAGTGCTATTTGTTTCAAGGATTTAGGTTGTGTAACACATCATATGTGACTTCTTAAATATGGCCATTTGTTTTGTATAAAGCTGTGAAGGACACAATGGGGCGAAGATTTGGGGTGAGAACAAATGCAAAAGAATAACTGTGTGTTGTAACAGCTGCTATTTTGCTCCATCAGCAATCAAACTGACGAGAGGCTTTTCACTTTGCACTTCATCTGGAGTGATTGTTTTTCTAAGCAATGCTTTTATCTTTAAGTAAAGAAAGGTTTTACTTTGTAACTGAGAAACTATGTTAGCACCTTGTTTTATCACTGGGGTATGAAATGCAGCTCCATGTGGTGTCAAACATGTGCAGTGTAAAACAATGGTGTTTAAAAGTTATGAGGCTTAACAACTGACAGTCTATCACATCTCATACTCTTTTGCATTAGACTGCAATGAAAACACCTTGTGTTATAGAGAAACCGTTGACAAAAGCAATGGGAGATGCAGCAGTTTGAGAGAAGAGAATGTTTTATTCTTAGCTGTATAGTTTGTATATTTCACTGAGGAAACTTTAGGCAGCAATATATATTAACTGAATGCACAACCGTTGAGCCTTTATGTAAAATGGTTGTTTGATGCAGTCATCCAGCTGGTAAAGGCAATATTGCCTAGTATTCTATTTACTTTTAGAATGACCCACAGTTATCTTTTTCAAAGATCAAAGGATTGGTCATGGCCATGGGACCTTGCTGACCAAATGGCAAATGAAGTGCACACGGCATATCTTCACAGAAATATCAACATTATTAAACTACAAGTGTTTACCATTAGTACATAAGCTTTAATGGTTTAGCAACATCAAGCATAACTGTTGTGTATAGGTTTTAAAAATCTAAACAACAGTTATTTTGGGCTTTTAGGACTTGTATGAGATCCACTGAGGACATATTGAGAATTTATTGCAAATATTTACCCTAAAATATTCAGGCCATTTATGAATATTTACAGAGTGTGAATTATCCCAAATAACACTTGATCCCCTATGTTAGTAACTTTAGACTTTATTAGTAAGAAATAACTTTCTTCAGTATTAGCTTTCTTAAATATTATTAATCAAAAATGTGTCGTATAAATATACCCCCCATTATAATTCATACCATTGTGATGCATTCAATCCCGCCAATAAATGGAAAAATATTATTCAGCAGTCTGAAACTGGCAGTTCTAGAGCCCAGACTGACATCTTAAGTATTCACAAAACACTTTTCTAGTAAAATAGGTGTTTTTATCTGCATGCAGCCTAAAAAAAGGAAACAGAAAAATTAGACATAATTTGTATAGTTTGACCTTTACTAACCTCTAAAATAGGCACTAAATATTTCTCAAACGCTGAAAATGTATACATTTTGTTAACGAATTAGATGTAATTTAAATACATTCATAAATTTCATTTACCAAAGTATGTAAAGTATGTATTACCAAACTACTACTAAAAAGTTGACCCCCTCTCCCTCTCGATTATCAATGTGTAATTTGCAAACTGGCTATTTCATCAAAATCATTATTGCAAAAACATCTTTGAAATCTTTTTGTTCAAAGAAAATCCAGCTTTTTAAATTCTTTACAGAAAAATAAAACATCTGTCTGCCAAACAGCTGTTAAATTGTGTGACATAGAAAGTCATAAATCAGAGTAAAACTAAACTGTATGAAACACAAAGACTTGTTGAAGTGTGTCCCATTTGTTTTGGAATTCAATCATTGGTGAATTAGGAGGTTTAATTTAGTTAAAGAATGTTTTTTTAAACAAATGCAAAGTGATAATTTTCCAGAAAAAAAAAACCAATTCCAATTATTATCTAAGATTCCAAAGCAGACTAAAATCCATTGTTTTAATCAACCAAATTTTTAAAAAGCTAATTTGAATAAATCATAAATAAACAGATTGTGCTTAAACTGAAATATTTCTCTAGCTTATAAAAGTTGTCTCTTCGTTTTGACAGGCTGAGGTCTGTAATACAAATAATTGGCAACAAGTTAAAACAAAAGTTTAACAGTTACTTCTGAACATGACGTTTGTTTTGCTGTTTTGGTGCTAAGGGTTGGGCAAAGGCATCAGATGAGACATGCAAGTCACTTTGATAGCCAAATATTCTGTCTTGGGGTAGACGGCATTCTCGACCTTCATCGAACTCTGACCGCCACCCTCCAGATGACGTCAGAAATCACAACAACTGGTGGGACCAATAGTGTGCTGCGTGCAGATCTCAGGGGTCTGTGCGACTGCATAGACGCAGCAAAAGTTGGCTTGTCGAAGTTAGTTCAACTTTTCCTACTACTTTGATTTGAATAAGACGCAGTGCGAGATTGCATTTGAGATGTTTTGATGTCATTTAAACTCTTTGTTTATTACTGGATTACTGCAAACTGTCTCAATGCGCATCAAGATACCTTGCACGTTTTGCCCTCGCGGCAGTGAGCAAATGTGATTCATTTCAAGCAGTTGGAAGTTTTGTCCACTGTGGGATTTCAGTGCGTGGAGAAGCAAACATGAGCACCTTTACTAGCGTAAACTGGTTAACAACTCGCGACCAGGAGGGGGTATGGAACAAGGGGAGCTGTTTGTGACAATTTCTCTCGAGAAACCTGGATTACGGACCAGCAAATGGAAACATTTGATCCAGAAAGTTAACTTTTAAGCTGTTGCATGCGGGCACATGAAGGAATGGCAAACTCTGGCAACTCAGTCACTCCCTGCCTGTGGATATTGTTTTTGTCCATCGGCATTGTGTTCTTTAATGCTTTATCCACCGCGTCTCCGACACACAACCAGCGTTTGATATGCTGGCAGGCTATCATGAAGTGCCAAGGAGAGCCTGATTGTCATTACGCGTATACTCAGTATGTTCACGCGTGCGATCCGGTGATAAAGGGCAACAAGAAGGTATGTCCCAGCCACTGCATTTCTTCCATCATTCAGCTCAACCTAACAGTGAACGGCCCTGCACTGGAGGACTGCGAATGCGCCTCGGACACGGTGTGTATGATGACTAAGCGAGCCATCGAGCCCTGCATGCCCAGGACCAGCCACATGGGCTGCACCGAAGCCCGCAAGCAGTGCGAGAAGGACCCCGAGTGCAAGACCGCCATGCTGGACTATCTGTACCACTGCAGGAAACTTTTCGGAGGAAACCGCTGCTCGGACGACTGCCGGACGCTCATCGCCAACATGCGCTCCAACCCCAAAGCACAGCTCCTGGACACCTGCGTGTGCGACGGTAACGAAAGGACCACATGCGAGTATGTCAAATTCAGCATGAAAAACTTATGCTTTGGCGACGGTTATGGCGGGAGTGGCTTTTCAGATACCGAGGACGATTTGGAGGAAGACTACGAGATGGATTATGAGGACGAAGCGAGCCATGCCCGGGAGTTACGAACACAAACGAGTTTGATTGTGTTGTCCACCATTTTGACCTTTTTTCTTGTACTGTATTAAGATACTGTTTTCATAATTTGGCCTCTGAAACTTGTTCCCATCACAAATAATCGGGCTAAATTTAAAATTCAATTTTAATCTCATACTTCCCTCAATGCAACATCTCAACGTTTTGACCTTTCTTCTCAGAAAAAAACTATATAAAACTTTATAAAAAGAGTTTATATAGTTGTAAATTTCAAGTTGTGCTATTTATTTGGTTTGTATTGTTTTTATTTAGGACTCTAAACTTACATTTCACACTTTAGCCTACGTTAGTCTTGTGAGATATAACTCGGATTTGTGAGAAATAAACCCAGAATTATGAGAACGCAAACTCACAATTGTGAGAAATATATTTACAATACAGAAGGAAAAATGTTTAGACTCATTAAGAGTAGTTAACTAGAAGTAAAATTGGCAAGAAAATTGATATTATGCAAAAAAAAAGTAAGAATTCTGAGATGGTAACCCAAAATTGCAGTAAGTGAGTAACAAAAAAAAGTTCTGTGGAAAAAAACTGTGGGTTTCCACCACAGTTCAAAGACATGCACTATAGGTGAATTGGGTAAACTAATTTGGCCTTAGTGTATGAGTTTGTGTGTGAATTGCGAGAGTGTATGCATGTTTCCCAGTACAGGGTTGCGGCTGGAAGGGCATCCACTGTGTAAATCATTTGCTGAAATAGTAGGCAGTTCATTCATTTTTGTCTGCATAGGTATCCACGTATTTATCCTGGATGAAAATAAACGGTAATTTGGTTACTACAGCAAAAGTACACATGCATACGTTCCATGATCTGTATTGGATACAAGTAGCTTCTTAGCCTACTTATCACTTATCACAAAACAGGCTTAAGTTGTGCAAAATGACATTCTCGCACTGAAAAACCCAAAAAGTTAAGGTAACTCAAACTACTTGAGAAAACTGATTGTAACAAACCATTTGAGTTAAAAAAAAAAAACTTATCCTAATGAGTATTGTGAACTTAATAAGTACACAGTAAAACCCAATAAATGAAATGACTCAAACCAACTGAGTACTGTAAAACCCAATAAGTTAAGTCAACTCAAACCGTTTGAGGAAACCAATTGCTACGAACCATTTGTGTTAAAAAAACTAAACTATATGAGTACTGTGAACTTACTTCATTTAAGTTGAAGTAATGAGGTATTTAATTAACTCATTACCTTCAACACTGAGTTCAAAACTCTTTTCAAAAGAGTAGAATTAATTTTCAGTAAATTTGGAGTTAAATACACTCATTTCATTTGATAAAGTTCACTGTTGGGTTTTACAGTGTATGAAAAACTATTAGAGTGACAGAATAGAAGCACCCCTTAATAAGTGATCAAATATTATGCATAAAGCATTTCACCCAATTTGCAGCCTTTCATTAAGTGATATTTTTTTATTGAGCAGAAGGTCTTGTCTTGAGTTTGTTGTTGTTGTATGGTGACTTTTCTTTACATCTGCTTTTGATTAATGTACAGGTACACTAGAGAGATTGCCAACTGTAAAACAAATCAGGAAAAGTGGTTGAGCCAGAATCACATAGCTAAAGGTCTTTCCAAAACCTAGTTGAGCTGCCAAAATCTACACAGAATGAAAATACTCCAGTTGTCTTTGATGTAAAAAAAATATGTGCTCTACTATATATTAAGTTATTTTGAACTATATGGTTGAAACCGTAGATGAAAATACTGGAAGTTTATTTTTGTATGAAAGATTGTTTAATGTAAATTGTAGGTAAACAACATATTGTAAATGTGTATAGTGATTCTGTATCATATAATTGTGTAAAAAATGTTGATAATGCAGTGTAAACCTCACAATGCTCATAAAGATTGCCTTCAAATTATTTCAAAGATCAAATTACTTTTCTTGCCTGGTTATTTCATACACAAAAAGTGGCTGTACATTTTTAATAAAACAGCTGAAATAATTATACATATGAAGAGTTTAGAATCAAAAACCTCTAAATGCCATCTGAATGTTCCTCTAAAATGAACGTTTGTATTAGGCTCCTGTGTGTATGTGCAGTAACATCACTCTCATGGCAAAGAAAAAGTCATTTTCCTTGTCTTTAATGTGAAATATCCTAATATAAACAAAGGAAAATGTTTTTTAATGGAAATTTCCAATGGCACTTAGAGTTTTTAGCATCTAAACTCTTCATATATTTATCTTGCAGGCCTTTTTTTTGTCAAATAAATTAAATTTTACCATACAATTGAAAGCAGATTTAAAAAAATTACATACTGTTTAGTATTTATGCTAACTATATAGCATAATAAATATTATAAATTTTAAAAGGAGATTATAAAATGTATGGCTTTCAATAAGAAAATAAAATAAAATTTAGTTTCCACCTGACATCCGCCGAAGTTTAGAAATGTTAAGGCATTATCATGAGCATGTGCTAGTCAAACATTTTGGCTCTGCTTCTTCCTGCACTTGACCTTGTAAACATAAATGTTTACAGAGGGAGTTAGTCTAAGTTCCCAGAGACTTTCCGTATTTAAGGAAACAAATGAGGTTGTCTTTAAACGGGATCAGGGTTGAGCATGAGCCAAGCAAGGCCTTGACTGGCTTATTTGTTCAAAGCCTGAGTGTTTATTTAAAGTCTTCACTCAAGCTGACAAGGAAAAAAGCAGAGCTCGCGTGAATGAAGCCTCAAGTAGCCATCACAAACACACTCGCTCAGCTACTGTGTGTGTGTTTAAGTGGGCTTGTCATTGAGTTTGCTTCTCAGCGTGAGTAGCTCTTGGCTAGTACAAATCTCCTCTTGGATTCCATATGCCTCTTTGTTCTCTGAAGTTTAATATAACAATGCCAGCCTGATACCTAGTTTGCATTCCAAATACAAAAGCGCAGAAAGGTATTATCCCGTAAAATATAATAGAAGCTGCCCTTCCCCCAATACCTGGAAACTGCTAGATTCTCACAGAAGTGAAGCACTGGGGAAAATAGTGAATTTTGATGCGTTTATCAGGAGAGCTGTATCCAAGATGGCAGACGCGGTGCTCAGTTCAATTTGAGGGAGACGCGGGACAAGGCTTCTCAGTGTTAATGAATGAAGGAGAAGTCGAGTGGCACTTCTGTCATGCTAATACTAAACACACAATAGAGGTGGCGCACAATGAGCAGGCACTTCATTCTGTCTTCTAGTGACACCTCTAGAAAGAGCGCAGAGAACTTTCTGGAGAGAGCAGAAGGGAGAGATGGCACAATGTGAATTATGTTAATCTTGTTCTGTGGAGGAGGCTACTTTTTCACACACAAATAAAGTAGATTCTCTAACACTTTTTCTACCTTTTATTGGTTTCACGAAAAGTATCATGTAGAAAAGCATTCTGCTTTATATAAACATGCTTTATATAAATAAGGGAGTATGTCAGTTTTTACAATTAATGTAAAATACAAATGTGTTTATTTAAAGCATAAAATGACTTGGTCAAAAAAATGCCATGTCATAAGTAGTTTTTGATGGAATATACCAGATAATCAATCATAACAACAAAAAAAATTATTATTATTTTTTTTACCAATAGTCATTTTCTGAAAAATATCTGAATGGCCTTTTTTTTAAGAAATGCTAGAAGACCTTTATAGAATAAAACTAATATAAACATTTTACTCAAACGTATACAGTTGAATTGGAATTATCAGCCCCCTGTTTATTTCCCCCCCAGTTTCTGTTTAACTGAGAGTAGATTTTTTTCAACATATTTGTAAATATAATAGTTTTAATAACTCATTTCTTATAACTGATTTATTTTATCTTTGCCATGATGACAGTGAATAATGTTTTACTGGATATTTTTTAAGCCTCTTCTATATGACCTAAAGTGACATTTAAAGGCTTTACTAGGGTAATTAGGTTAACTAGGCAGGTTAGGGTAATTAGGCAAGTTATTGTATAACAATGATTTGTTCTGTAGGCATTCAAAATATCTATAGATGAAACCAGAAGTTTACATACACTCAAAAAAAAAAGAACATAATTTTATTTTAAAAAATGTGTGACAGTAAATCATACTAAATGTTTACTATTTTAGGTTCAATAGGATTACCTAAATGATTTACATTTGCTAAATGCCAGAATAATGAGAGAATTTTTTGAGAATTGTTTAGCTATTTCTAGACAGTCAAAAGTTTACATACATCTCTGTATTTTTAGCTTTGCTTTAAAAATATATCTATGGTCAAATGTTTTGGGGATCCTTCCACAAGCTTTTCACTATAGTTTGATGGAATTTTCTATAGGATTGAGATCAGGGCTTTGTGATGGCCTCTCCAAAACATCCACTCTGTTGTCCTTAAAGCACCTTTCACCTTATTTTGCAGTATGCTTAGGGTCATGGTCTGTTTGGAAGACCCATTTGTGGCCAAGTTTTAAGTTCTTGCTGATGTCTTGAGATGATGCTTCAGTATTTCTAAATGTTCTTTCTTCATGATACCATCTATGCTGTGAAGTGGACCAGTCACTCCTGCAGCAAAACAGCCCCACAACATAATGCTGCCACCTTTATACTTCACAGTTGGGATGGTGTTCCTAGGCTTATAAGCTTTGCCCTTTGTCCTCCAAATGTAACACTGGTCATTATGGCCAAACAGGTCAATCTTAGTTCCATCAGACCACAGGACATGTCTCCAAAAATTATTCATTTTCTCAGTGTAATTTTGCAAATTGTTATCTGCCTTTTTTGTTGATTCTGGCTTGTTGATTTTCCCATGTTGTCACACAAGAAAGCAGCGTGTTTGAGGTTTTCCTTAAATACTATTCTACAGATGTGCCTCGAATTAATTCAAATTTTGTCAAATAGCCAATCAGAAACTTCCAAAACCTTGACACCATCATCTGAGCTTTTTCAGAGGCGTAATAATCTTATTGCATGTAAACTTGACTTTCAAGAAAAGTTATAACAATTTCTCAAAAAAATATCTCTTTAATTATTCTGCAAAACAGAAACAAATTTGATAATCTTAACTTACCTGAAAGAGAAAAAGTTTAGTCACATTAACATGACTTTTTAAACAGTGTATGTAAACCTGTTTTCAACTGTATAGCTTTAAGGGGCTAATAATTTTTAATTTTGAATTTTTTTATTCATTTATTTAAAACTGCTTTCATTCTAGCCAAAAAAAAATTAACAAGACTTTTTCCAGAAGAAAAAAAAATATCCTACATACTGTGAAACTCTGTTAAGCATCATTTGGGAAATATTTAAAAAAGAAAAAAAAACAAAGCTAATAATTCTGACAATAATTCTGACATCAACTGTATATTTAGTAAACACAGAGCATCCAAAATAAGTGGTTTATTAAATTATGTATGTCAAAGCATAATAATCCATACTGACTCCTTACTGAACTTTTCAATTGTTTGCTGTGAGTTAGAAGTAACAATGTGAGGTGAACGGACTATTCACCCTCGTCAGGTGAAGGGCCCCACCGTGACTTTGCAAAAAGGGAGCCATTTCTCAGATCAGGCATGCTGTGTTAAACCTGTCACATCCAGTTTTTGCTGAGAACAAGCCCCTTTAAACCTGACAACACTGCTGTTAATCCAGTTATATCTGCTGATTTGAGTGCATGAGAAGTGAAAAACAGCAGAGTTAAAAACATGGTTCTATTTCAGTTCTTGTGCCAGCATGATGAGCAGCTAGAGTTGAATTTGATGCAAGATTCAGCATGTGATAAAAATTCCCAACCATCCTCTTATCTGAACTGACTTTATCTACATCAGAGATCATAGCATTACGTAAGCTGCAAGACAGGGACCGATCTCTTATTGTGGATTGTTTTCCCAGATTCTATTTCAGCTGTTGATTGGGGCTTAAACCAAACATAAAAACCATTTGAGATTCGGTTGTTAGGCCAGTGGATGGGAAGATGGGGGTTGGTTTTAAAGGGGGTTCTTTAAAAGAAGGAATTTGGGGGAAGGGCTGGCTGTGAAGGGCCTTTTCTGAATGACCCTACATGGACAAACAGAGAAGACCCCTCCACACCATCATAATATTTCAGGCTGCATAGTGACAGGACTGCATTGGTGCTTATGACTTGATTGCACTTCTATGTCCATTTTTTTCTTCAATCCAGGGGATGAAAAACGAGGAAAGCAGTGAAAAAGAGTGCGAGAAGAGAGACAAAACTGTGCTGACATGGGGCATAACTTAATTTTCACGGTGCCGAGACAGATGGGAAAGGTAATGTGGCGTGACGGCTCTTAGAAACTTTAATAGATGCCTTGACCTCAGGGAAAGTTCCAATCTGACTGCACTAAGACATTTTTCTTCTTCTTTGGGGGTGGAGCACAAGGTGCACCTTTCAGCTTGGTGCTTTGAGATATTTTCTTTTTCTCTAAAAAAAAAATAAAAAAACTTATTTATCATACAGAAAAATGTGTGTGATGGAATTTTACCATCAAACTGCTCCAGTTCAGTAGATTCAGAATATGTGAAATAATTTGGAGTCTTGTTTTGGGATGAGGTCTCAGTCCAAAGCCATTCCCACCACAAGCTGACTCTTGAAGGGTATTGAAGCTGAAAGGAGCTTCTCAGAGGCTCAATAGGGAGTTAAGAGAGCTACTCTATTAACCTGACCTCTAGAGGCCCAAGACGAGTGAAAAGTGAGCCATCTACCTAAACTTCACAGCTGTTCCTTGTACATTTATTCCCTTTGTGTGCTTTTGTATGAGCAAATTCTTTGTCTTTATTGACAGATGGCATAATAACTAGTTTTACCTTCGAATTTTGATCTTGCTCTTGCAGTTTGCAATGTGGGAGAGAATAAAAAACAAATGGCGAATTTAGCATGAATCTAAACGGGTTAGTAATGTTTTATTATAATTTTGGTGTATATGTATAATA